TTCTTGAGAAGCTAATGTATACTCGGACGATAAATTTTTTGATGAATGCTAACATTTTGTCAAATTTTCAGTTTGGTTTCCGTGAAAAACACACTACAACTCATGCTATTCTACATTTGGTGGATAAGATATCCAGTGCCTTAGAAGCACGCATGCATACAGTTGGTGTCTTCTTAGACTACTCTAAAGCGTTTGATACTGTAAATCATTATATTTTAATAGATAAACTGTGTCATTATGGCGTAAGGGGAATAGCATTAGATTGGTTTAGAAGCTACTTAACAAATAGGAAACAGTTTGTTTCTTTAAATGGAATTGAATCAGATATGCGGGACGTCACTTGTGGGGTCCCACAGGGATCACTTCTAGGCCCGCTTTTGTTTATTGTGTATATTAACGATTTTCAACTTTCCGCAAAGATGTTATCATTCATTTTATTTGCAGATGACTCGAGTGTATTTTTCTCTCACAGAAATCCACAAACTCTTTTGCAGACTGTAAACTCCGAGTTGACTAATGCGACTTTGTGGATTCAAGCAAACAAGTTGTCTTTAAATCTTAAAAAAACTAATTATATGCTCTTTAGTAATTCCCTGAGTATATTGCCTGGCAATGTAATGTTTAATGGTGTTGAGATTGAAAGGGTATCTACATTTAAATTTCTTGGCTTGCATATTGATGAACATTTAAATTGGAAGTACCATATTAGTAAACTTTGTAAATTATTGTCAAGAAATACTGGTGTAATTTATAAATTGAAATCTGTGTTCCCACTGAATATTTTACATATGTTGTACGCAACTTTGATTTTGCCATATTTGCACTATGGTGTGCTAGCTTGGGGCAACTCATTCAAATCTCAAATGGATAAATTACTACTGGTACAGAAAAGAGTAATACGAATTGTTTGTAATACTCACTATCTTGCGCATACAGATGTTCTTTTTTTTAATAGTGGTGTTTTGAAAGTTGAAGATATTTATCATGTACAACTAGGAGCTCTAATGTATGAATTGAATGCAGGTCTACTGCCAGTAGCCTTGGCTGGAATATTTAAGAAAAATAACCAAGTTCATAGTTATTCCACACGACAGGCGCAAGCATATCACTTACCTCTTGTTAGAACGCAATTTGCCCTTACTACTTTGGGGTCCACTGGACCTAGGTTTTGGAATTCCCTTGAACCAAGAATAGCGCAATCGGTCAGTATTTATGTATTTAAGCGCAAACTGAAGTTTCTGTATTTGAGTCGATATCGTCTAGATTTATAGTTGTGATCAATATTTAAGAAAACTATTTGCTATATAGGTCAGCATTATTCTACTCCCGTTTCTCACATCTATTCATCTGTCTGTTTTGTTTAGTTTTTGTCTGTGTTTCAGTCCTGTTGCTCGTAGTATATTTCTGTTCCTGTTGTTTATAGCCATTATTTAGTAGTCAGTAGATTTTATTGTACTTATTTATGTTTAATATTTTCTCAGTTGTTTAGTTAGTTTAGTTTTGTAAGCATTTAAATGTACGCAATTTTTTTTTATTTGACGAGTTTGTTCTTTTAGGACATACCCTTAAACTACTCATGAGGGACCTTAAATCCACAAGCCTTGCTTTCAACCAAGGTCACCTCATCTTTCTATTGTAACGCCATATTCTGTTCACTCCTTTATATTCATGTCATATTTATAATGTGTGTTATGAAAGAAAGATAAATAAACTTGAAACTTGAAACTTGAACTAAGATGAACCACATGTAGTCTAGGAGCGAAGACCCATGGTAGAAATTGACGAAACCGATAAAAGAAATTCGGCGCGATGAAAATCTCGGCCAGTTGAACCCGATAAGTACCAGGAAAAAAAACTTAGGGATGGGTTACAAAGCAGCTTTCAGAAAACAAGGTACAGGGGGGGGGGGGGCGACGGGCCCTTTTTCACTAATTAAGCACACAAAAAAGAAGAACGAAGCTCTTCCCCCCCCCCCGCTTATACACGGAGGGGGGGGGGGCTGAGTCTTTCCATTCACTCCACATCGATTGATTGCTCAACAATGTTGCACATTGCTTCCCATTATTAGGCATATGTTTGCTCATCTATTCTGAAGCTCCATGACTTTAAAAAAAAACAACAATTGTTCCGTTGGTACTATACCTGCAACTTCTGTGGCAATTGTGTGATTAAGTAATTTAGGAATATCACTCTGTGGAAATTTCCATGTGAACACACAATTTTTTTTACATATTCTAAAATGTTAAGGGAAACCGAACTATGACAAAAATATGAGCACACAGTTTACTTTTATGACACACACTGTTATAAACATGTGGCACTTTGTGAATAATATATACGCCTGTGGTAAACCACATGATCTGAAACATCACACTGCGACAATACTCTGAACACAGAGTTTGCACATAGTGCAATACATATACCACTGTGGTAAATAATATGTGGTGCTCTGTGTTAAATATGTCAGTTTACGTGCATATTATGTAGTAAACCACATGGTTTGAAACTCCACACTGTTACAACAATGTGAACACATAATGTCCACACATTTTATACATAGTTGACTTTGTGAACATAAGGGTTAGGAACATAGTGTAAACGTAGCATTAGTTATTTAGCATAGAAACTAAAATGACAGACCGCGTCTGAATGTGGCCCTGTTCACACGCATATGTATGCTTGTGTGTACTGTTTAATAGTTTACTGCATAGTTTTAAAGCAGGGTGTGTTCACATAGAGATGTAAACCAGTTTAACTTTAATCTTGTGTCCTATCATAAATAATCTATATCAACGTGTAGTACTGCTTTAGCGAAAGGGTTTGTACATGCTTACATGCTGAAGCATTTGTTTGTTTGTTTATTATCATTAACTGTTGAGGATCTGAAAGTTGTGTATTGTTCGTACGTGCGCCCGAAAGTCGAATACTGCGCACCTGTTTGGCATTCAGGTTTGACTAGGGCAGACAAGAAACTGATAGAGAGAATTCAGAAACGAGCGTGTCGCCTCATGCTTGGCCAAAGATACACGAGTTATGATGATGCCCTCAATGTTCTTGACCTTCCCACACTGGAGGAGAGGAGGGAAAGGTTAACAAAGAAATTTGCGAGTAACCTCACAAAGGAAACGTCCCCCTTCTATTACTGGCTCCCCCCTACGCGAGCTTCCCGTACTTCCCGCAACCTGCGCGACGCTAATGACTATTCCGAAATCAAATGCAAAAATGAGCGCCCTAGAAAGAGCGCACTCCCCTTCATTGTGAGGTTACTCAATTCAAAACTGGATTAATGTAAAGACTGATCGTTTGTTCATAAATGCCGAGCATATACGTAAATCAAATTGTTATCTTATAGATGTGCTTGAATGAAAAATTATATTGTTTACTGAAGATTTACTGTTTTGTTTATACGGATTATATTAATTTCAATATTGCATTACCAAACATATTCTCTATTAGCCAATAATAGGAAGTGAAACTATAATTTCACTCTCCTTTTGTCTTAGGTGAATTATACGTCCATTTTGTTCTCCATATACATGTACCTTGCACCCACATGACAATAGGCTTACTTTGAAGCATGCAAAACAGATAATTTTTCTTAGCACTGATCATAATTTATTCAACTGTTATATTCCTCCTATGAATTTGCTTAAGACATATCATAAAACACTTATTTTTCCACATCCATTGCCCACTTCCGTTATCCCACCATCAATATTCTTTGATCTAAGGTGTACCTATAATTGTTTGTTATGAATGTACTATTTTTAATGACTTTGTAATACTATTGTATTTTGTGCAGTATCCTTGTGTTAATACTTATGTAAATTGCACTCAATTCAGCCGATAGGCTGCCATGTACAATGTTTTTTTTAATACCACAATAAATAAATAAATAAATAAATTACAGATTGTTATCTGAAGATTTTACCGAAGATATTAAGGTGAAGTTTACACCATTGTTGATATTGCTGAATAAAACGGAAGTTTGTTGGATTTGAGTGAGCAAGTGCTTTCCAGTGTTGATTTCAATCGGTGTGCCATTTTGAATAACAACAGTCGGACATTTATTGTTAGACGAAACTCCTTCATATAAAGATTTATGAAAGCTGCCTAATTAATCTATAAATGACATCAAACTATAATAAACAATTGCTAAAAACTATGTGCCTGACCCCAGTGAGAATGGGATTTAAGTTGGAAATTACCTATGCCTTGCTACATGAAAAGGTCGGCTCTAGAAGAGTCAGGGCGCGTTCATGCTTGATTTTGAAGGCAGAATGAGCGATTTGTAACGCTCATCGTAAACGCTCATCGTAATCGCAGTTCCACGGTGCACTGTTCATGCTCACTTCTCCAGGCAATTCTCCTTGGGTGGCCTTCAGCTGGATTCGCAAACCTGAGTGCGCATGCTACGTAGACCCACGAGAGGTCAGTGCATTGACCCCATTTAAACGCGTTTACAAATTGTAAACGCATCTTTTTGTGACTTTACGATCGGCGATCGTGATCGCCGTTTTTCGGTGATTCTACAAAAGTGAGCATGAACGCAATCGTGTTTTAAACTAAACGCGTAACAGATGCCTGATTCTGGCCGTCAAAATCAAGCATGAACGCGCCCTCAGATAACAAATGAGGGCGAACACTACACGCTCTCCCGTATGCTTCCCATTATGAGCCCGATGACCTTTGGGTGTTCATTGTTCGGTAGGAACTATGCACCTTACACCGTAAGGTCAGAATTATTGTGGGTAAAATGGTTTAGTTTCCGTGTGCCCTTGCATGACCGTGACCGGAAATTCCTCGGATAAAAAAAGACATATGGACATGTGTGTATGTTATAACTGGGAGTATACACAATCCCTATTTGCCGTTGACATTGTTAGCTTCATAATTCATAAACTGACCACTATATTGCTGATAAAAATCCTGTTACGATCGAAGAGCGCACTTGCATCTGTAACAACTCGTCTACACGTATGCTTGCCCGTACGACTACAGTTGAAAAAAAATGTCTGCTGCTATTTCTAATATAAAGCCTTTGACAGAAGATCATGAACGCTAAGAAGATGTTTATTACAATGCTTTCTACAAGGTGGCTCAGAAAGATGTCGGTGATGAAAAGGTGATTCAATATTTTGATGCCACAGTGATGAAGAGGCTTACTGATGTCTTTGGATGTGGTGAAGAGCTCAGTCTACTGGGTGTAGGAGTCGGAGAAGGTGAGTTATTTCTTTTATAAAATCAGTATATTTTGAATAAGGAGTCATGACAGAATATAGATTGTTTGCGACTTTTGCGTACTCTGTCTGTGTCAAGGAGGGCATATCAGACATTGAGTGGATCGAGTCGGCAGATGCCCCATCATCGGCGGTTTTTATCCCAATACAAAGTATATATACAAACTCTTTCGAAAGCAGTAGGCCTTCATGGATGCATTTTACTTGTTTTATGTCAATATATTAACAATTTAAGTTTATATTTATAAAGATATATATAATATATTTAATATTAAGGCATGAAGAAAATGGTCTAGGAACGTTAGACGTAGCTGTACTTTACAAGTTTATTACGAGCTTTCGGCTTGTGAGGCCTTCTTCAGGTTCTGAAGTACAAACATATACAAAAACACTATTAATATTTAATATACACCTTACAGCGTCATTAGAAGGATATTATGTAGTGAAAAACTGAGTCATTAAGTAAACATGGTCACGAGCAGGTCATTTTCGTGTCCTGTAAACGATTGAACCTAGTGTAAAGGGACACTAATTGAACCAAATGAGTAAATGCCATCTGTGTACCTATAGGCAGAGGAAACGTAAAGGGCTCCCGAGAAACATTAGGTTTAATCATTAGTCAATAGTCATTGTAGTTTAATTAGTCTAATCAGTTATATTGTTTTGAATTTAGGGTTAGGCCTGGTTAGCGTAATATACCAGTTTTTATGATGTCCTGTTAATGTATCATTTAGGATTGTATATAAATGTCGTGCTAATGTACCATATAATATTATATATATATACTGTATAAACATGTAATGTATATACAAACGTTTTAGAAACGGAATATATAGGGACGGAACTTCTGTGGTATATGCCCGATATACCACTTTATACCGTACGTCGATAGGTGGTCGATGACTGTTTGATTTTATTGTCGCAACCTGAATCTCAGTACATGCTTATATATGTGTTACCCTATATATATTGTGATTATGTATGTTGACTTTTATACAGGGCCCCAAGAATGAACAAAATTTGTATACTGATGGAGCCACCCTATTAAACATGATCAAATAATTAATCCTTTTTGTTTGCCCCACAGGCCCGCACGAATTCCAGATTCTGAAGAGTCTTCAATCTCACTACTCATCCATATGTAATGTTGCAGTGGACCCTAATGAAGGCATGCTACAAACATTCAAGGGTAGAGTTGCTACATTGAATTTTGATGACAAATCGTCTTGTCATTGGTTCACTGGTCCGTTGTCACAATTCGTTGCTGAAAGCCCCTTGGCGGGAAACAAGTTCAACCTCATCAGCTCCATACATTCGCTCTACTACACGGGTGACTTTGAGACGACCTTCACCCAACTAGCATCCATGATGAAAGATAAGGGTCTCATGATCATCGTTTGTAAAAACGGTAGGTAGCGAATTGACATCATCATTTGCTCGATCAGCTCTGCAAGTTTCTCAAATAAAATATTATAAATGCCGTAATAAAACTCTTTGAATGAGTGTAAAATCAACTCGGAAATACTCTTTAACATACTATTCTTAGAAGAACGTAGTTAAAACAGACATAAATCGGGATGCAATTTTGTTTAACCTCATAACTTTGCAAACATTTGTTCGTTGTATCCTCTCAATTATTATGATAATAAATAGTCTTAATCCTAATAGTAGATTACATATAAACCCTTCCTATCTGTTTAGTTATGTGTACAATTATTTAATAAGAAATCTTGAACGGGAAGGCGTAGGCTACTCCCGAGTGAACTGGGACAGTCATGGAGAAAAAGAGGACAAAACTTTCGAAAATCTTAAAATAAAAACTGTAACAGGTTATTGTCCCAAAACTGAAGTAAGTGCTAGAGATATTAAGGATCATTTTAAAAGGAGACCTAGCAGAAAGATGATTTTTATCACTGTTTATTTCAGTCTCGTTTTGTTCGTTCATTCGTTGTTGCTTACAGCTAGCCTGAACACAAAAACATTCCACAAGTTAACATGGCTGACAGAAAGCACTCAGTCAAATGAACGACTTTCTTCAAAGAATGTTCGAGAGTTTGCACAAAGTCAAGGGTATGATGTCACCACTGTCGATATACCTGTACATTGGGACATCACCGAAGTGTTTGATGACCAGTCAGACTTTGGAAATAAACTCCTTGACTTCTTCACCCAGGCGGCGTACTTTCGGGAGACGGCACCGTCTGAGGTGGTCGATGGTTTGATGAGCTTTTGGCGTTCTATTTCGACAGAAGATAAAAATGGACGTATCGTAGCACCAGCCCACGACGAAATACTTCTCATCTCAAAATAATTCCCTGTCATCGTCTTTCAGAGCCGTATGTTGTTTCAAATATCAAGTAGGGTCTAGCTTTATTCATGCGCTTGCTAGTTACCTATCTACCACGCATTCGTGATCAAACAGCTCCAATAGCACTTCTGGATAAGGGCCAGGGCTGCATACAACTCATATTTTTTTGGCTAAATATATTACTCATTGCGGATAAAGGATCGAAAATAATATCGCTAGTGACATTCGTTTGTCTCGCAATGTATGGTAAACAAGGGCATCAAAAGATCACGACGTTTCGTGCGCCGCTGCAAACGCAAGGTTGCGTTTATCTAGCAAATTTTTGGCTAGAATCAGGTTTCTCAAACGTCTTTCAGGCAAATTTAGAAGTAGATAAACGCAAATCCTTTTTCAAACGTCTTTAGATATGGGCATATCTAAATACGCAAAAAGGTGCGTTTTGAATGTGACATACAGCCAGAATCACGTTTCTGAGAGATCGATAAACGCAAAGCTGTTTTGAACCTCACATACAAATAGGACCCCCCAGGTGTTGTGTACAAGCATGTGTGTGAAGATGACCTCCGAGAAACTGTCTGCTTCCCGGGTCAAAACAGCTGGGCAGACACAAGGCCTTTATTTTGAATCGTGAAGGGACGATAAACGCGACATCCCGCAAATCACGATCGTATAGTGAGGTTCGATAGTGGGGTTTGATAGTGGGGTACGATATGTACATATCTACTGTAGTGGCAAGCCTTGATAAACGCGCATTCGTCAGGTGATAAAATATATTGTGAGCAAGCGTCTTTTATACTCTACGGGTGGACCGTCAGTCAAATAATTCGATCAATTGATCCTCACTGGCAACAAACTGTAAAACGAACTTAAAATTCAAAGATTATCCAGGACAATTTGTTTCTAAAGTAAACAGTTCCTTAAATTTTGTTCTTGTTACCAGTGAAGAAGTTATAAAATGCATTAAAGAAGCTCTTCACAATACGGCTACTCATGGTTTTGATACTATACCATCGAGTATTTCGAAAGATTCGTCACTTATTATTGTTGAATCTCTGAAGCGTTGTGCCAAATGAATGGAAGTGTGTCAGAATAACACCCTTTATAAAGGAGGCGATGGCACCAACCTGTCGCTTCATAGACCTATATCTCATAATATTTGTGTTGTCAGTACTTCCCAACATTTTAGAAAAACTTGTTTTTTCGGCAAACTTATAAATATTTGAGTGATAACAATATATTGGTACAAAATCAGTTTGGTTTTCCAACCACGCTTTTCAACAGAGTAAAGCGATAAATACTTGCCATGTTATTGGATTGGTAACGTTGGATCAGGGAGATGTGAGTTTTAATACTCACACCTCCCTGGTTTGATCTCGAAAAAGCGTTTGATCATAAGGTGCTTGTGATTTGACTTAATTTTTTTTTCTTCATAATTTCTGATGTTTAGAATGATGGTTATTAAGAGTTATTTACATATTTTTGTTCTTATTATTTCAATTTGTATAATGAACTATCTTTTTGTTGTTAAATGTATCTTGTATTAATATTTGTAATGGATTTGCTGAAAAACAGCCATATGGCTGATGGCATGAGTTCTAACCGTGGTTAAATAAATGAAACAAACACACAGACAAACCATAGAACTGTATCTATAAAGATTCATTTAAACACATTGTGTTTTTGTACTAAAATCTGTCAGCCCTCACCTCGTCCTTGAACTATCAGAAACTCAGAGTAACCTATTTATTGCTACAAAACCTTTTTCTTCTTTTTTTTTCTTCATTTTTTTATTTTTTAAAATACATTTTCCTAATATACACTACTTTGATAAACTCAATTAACTCTCAAACTCACTTCTGAGCTTTCTTAAACTGACTTGACTTTCCTTTAAACAGATTACTGCCAATTTCCATAAACCAAAATAACTGTAAATATCTCTATCTTGCATCCACACACAAGCTTGATTATTCACATCTATCTGCAAAGTATAAATTCGTTCCAAAACCTCAATATTGGATTGTCACTCTCACTGTTTCGAATGACCTTCCACTGACTTTGACAGGCGCTTAAAGTACTTATTTCTCGTTCGTTCGTTCGTACAAAGAATACCAAGGAGTACATCATCTAAATAGGAAGGTCCTCATTTAGCCAACTGATTGTCTCATCATCGAGCTCTCGAAGTCCAGAAGCACCGCGAGTGGATTTGTAGATAGGACATGCATCGATGACGTGATCCATAGTGTGGATCTCTCCACAGGCACAGTTTGGCGATGGATCAGCTCCAATTTTATGCCGGAAATATTGTGTACGGCCAACTCCAGTTTTGATACGGTTGAGGTTGACCCAGGCTTTTCTTGAGAGGTCGCTGCCACTTGGTTTTGCACAGGGCTCTAGGATGAACTCCTTCAGGTTGGTATTAGATGAATACCACTGGTCTGACAAGCGTTGTGCTATCCAATTGGGTAAGGTGGAGGGGGCTTCTCAAGCGGCAGCTCAGCAGCCTGTGTTGCAAAGTGTCTTCCAAATGGAGACGCTGTCCTTCAAAAGCAGAGGGGGCAGAAACAAGGCATTTATCTTATGATCTCGTCTGAGCTGAGGTGGTATGCCAGACAGTATAGGCAGGTTGCTGACAGGTGTTGCAGTGAGTTTTTCCTTTGAATAGTCTCTTGTGTATATGGGTGTGTTGGGACGAAGCTGACTTTTCTAAATTATGGGAGTGAAAGTATTTATATATTTTTTTAAGCAATAACAAATTCAAACACACCAATCAATCTAACACGGCGACCCATCAGCCCAACCTTTTAACTTCGTGATCTCTCAAAATAAATAAGCACTTGGAAACAAAGTAATTACAGTACAGTGAGTTCAATTTATCATGAACTGGTTACACATTTGACTAAGTAAAGATGTCTGTAATTCAGGGGCGGCAATCCCGGGGGGATGGGGGAAGGGTGGAAAATTTGAAGAAGTGCACACAAAAAATATGTAGCAAATAATACTGACTAAAGACTGCAACACACTTTTAGGTTCTGGAGGGTCCAAGAGTGCGCGTTCAGACAAATACAAATGCACAAATATTCTCCCTCGGTAGCTACGCTCCCTCGCATAATATCCCTCAAAAAGTACAAGTGAATATTGTAGAAAAATGAAGTGTGAAAAAAGTATATCGCTTATTTTTATATTATAGTTTTGCTAAGGAATGTATTTTGTTAATACAACAAAACTTAAAAAACCTGAGACGGGGTAGGCACTTCCGTCACCTTCACCCCTTTCATTCACTATGCTCCCTCACACTAGCGTACTGATGGGGAGGGGATGGAGGGCAGTTGCCCCTCCCATGAAATTCGAACGTGGTTTATTTCTAATTCGATACCAGAGATTTAGAAATGTTGCTGAAATGACATGATTTTTCCCTTAGCATCCAAGGGCTCTGCCTCCAGGACCCTAACAAGGGCCCTAAGGTGGCCCCTGGATGCTCATCTAATCGTAATTTGATGCCTAACAACCCCTGAGCTTCTGGACCCCACGCCAATTTACGCTCCACTTGCTTCGCTCTACCTGATCGTAAATACTTTAGCCCCTCCTCTCCCCCCCCCCCCCACTTAAAAAAAAAAAACGTTCCGCGGAGCCAGCATGTAACATGTAAGAGTGGTGGTAACGCGGATTTGCTCCCTCGTTTATCGCATATCGTCCCCCCCCCCGATCATGAAAATAAATCGCCGCCCCTGCTGTAATTATAAACGAAGAAGAACAGGTCAACAAATTGACCGAATACCAAAGTACCAATGTATATATTCCTTACACTTATTAGTTCAAACAAACAAATATATTCTATTTTGCTAGATTACAAATAGAATAAAATTTTAATTTTAGAATATATGAGATATGGCGACCCATCCAAAGGTGGAAGCGGCTTGGTCGATTGATGGAAGAGTCAAGACCAACGAAGAGGGGGTTCAAGTCAAAAAACTTTTCTCATCTTTGCAGCAAGCTGCGACTTTGTAACTCTTTATTTTTCTTTTTACTTCCAAGTGCCTCTCCTAGAGGTTTGCATTTTTACCCGTGCGTTATCTAACGTTCTTTACACCTTTTGTTTTCCCTCTTACATTTATATATATATATATATATATATATATATATATATATTCTCTCTGTTTATTACGTCTTGTTTTCTTTATACATCTTTGTTTTTCCCTTTTTATGCCTTATTTCTCTTTCACTTTTTACTATGTGCACTTGCACTTTTTTTTATCAATATACTCTGTACATCTCTATATATTTTTATGTTCATGTCGTTCTGAGTGTGTCTGTATGTGTGTTCTTGTATGTGAATGAATGTGATGGCTATCCGCAAACTGCTTTGTTTTATCTCTCTGTTTTGGTATTTGATATTTTTTATGACCGCTTCAGATCTGTTGTTTTTATATACTGTTTACATCTAATCTTTCCTCATGGATGATGATTTTGAAGATATTAATGATGGTGTTGTTAATGAGTGTAGCTATATCAACTGCAGCGATTTCCAGTTTAATGGCGATAAAAAACTTTCTCTGATGCATATTAACTCCAGAAGTCTTTTTAAAAACTTTGATGATCTGGTAGTATTACTATCCTGTATAGAACATAATTTCTCTGTTATTGGTATTTCAGAAACCTGGTTCAAACCATCTACAGATGTAGCTATGTTTGATATTCCAGGATATTCATTTGTTCAAGTCTGTCGATCAAATAAGAAAGGTGGTGGAGTAGCATGTTATGTCCGAGACGGGCTTGATTACAAGATACGTAATGATCTATCTATGGCTAATGCTTATTATGAATGTGTATTTTTAGAAATTAGTATTGCAAACAAAAAGTCGATTGTCGGATGCATTTATAGAGCACCTGGTAATGACATTAGATCATTTATTGATGGCTTTGATCATGAAATGCAAATACTGAGTAAAGAAAGGAATGACATTTATATTATGGGTGACTTTAATATCAATTTGTTAAATGTTGATGTAGATGAAAAGGTAAAAGATTTTGTTGACTTTATGTTTTCGTTTGGGTTGCTTTCCCTAATCACTAAACCGACTCGTATCACGTCATCTTCAGCAACCTTAATCGATAATATATTTACAAACTGTGTTCAAGACCATTTCTATTCTGGAATATTCTGTTCTGATTTCTCTGATCACATGCCAATTTGTAGCATTAACAAAGGCAATGCAGT